AAGAAGCTTGATTGACAGAAGCCTTGCAAAAAAGTAATGCATCATCAGCAAAAAGCAGATGGCTAATAGGGGGGCACCTTCTTGTTATACGATAAGCATATAGGGAGCCATCTCTTACTGCACGAGATACAAGTTTAGACAAAACATCTACCACAAGCAGATATAAGTATGGGGACAGGGGATCTCCTTGTCGAAGCCCTCTCCCAGGGAAAAAGGTTTTAGTGGGTTTACCATTGATTAGAATTGAATATGAGGTTGATCGAACAAACTCCATTACTCTAGCAACCCACCAATCATGGAAACCCATCGCCCTGAGCACTTGCTCCAAAAATAGCCAGTCCACCGTATCATATGCTTTATGGATGTCTAATTTAAGTGCCATGTAGGCATCTTGAGAATAACATCTATGAGCAAAACCGTGGAATGCCTCATGCGCAACAACTAGATTGTCCTGGATCATTCTACCAGGCACAAAAGCAGATTGCTCTGGAGAAATTATTTGAGAAAGAAAAGGCTGCAATCTATTCACCATTATCCTGGAGATAACTTTAGAAATAAAATTGCATAAAGATATAGGGCGATATTGAGAGAGGGTTTGAGGATTTTTGACCTTTGGTATGAGAATGATATTCGTTTTATTGAACTCCTTCAGCAGAAAACCCGTATCCCAGAATCTTGAGATAGCTTTATGAACATCACCACCAACCAAGTCCCAATGTTTCTGGTAGAAAACTCCAGGGAACCCATCCGGACCTGGTGCTTTAAAGGCTCCTAATTGGAAAGTAGCAACTTTAACCTCCTCCAGTGTGATGTCTGCGCAAAGAGAGTTATTCATTTCGGATGTGATCACTGGAGGGAAAGAAAACACAATATCCATATCAGCAGTTGTAGGGCAAGCTTGGAATTGAAAGCTCAGGCTTCGAAAAACATATGTTGAAATCTCTTCCTCGCTCTGCAATAATTGCCCTGCATCATTCTGGAGCTGAAAGATTTGATTTCTATTTCGCCTCCTGGAGGCTGTGCAGTGGAAGAAGCTTGAATTTCTATCCCCATGTTTTATCCAATTCACTCGCGACCGTTGGAACCAATAAGCCTCTTCCTTTGCCCACAAATCATTCAATTTCTGAATTAGCATTTTTTGGTGCAACATATTAGCATCATTTGGTTCCTGATTCTGCATAAAGTCTAACTGCTCACGCAAAAATTTAATTTCCCCCTGGGGATTGCCCCTTAACTTCTTGCTCCAAGAGAGCAGATCAGCACGACAATTCTTCAATTTACCCATTACCTTATACTGCTCTGAACCCGTAATATGCACCTGCCAACCATTCTGGATGCACTCTTGATAACCATTCTCCAGGGTCCACTTCAATTCAAAACGAAACAACTTCCGAGGGGGCTTGGGGAAAGCGTTAGAGCACAAAATCAATGGGCTATGGTCTGATCCGATCTTAAGCTCATGAAGAATTTGCGCGTGAGGGTAACACCGGACCCAGTCTGAGTTCGCCAAGGCTCTATCAAGACGATGTTGGACATTTGCAGGACCTGATCTGCTATTAGTCCAGGTATAAGGATTGCCCCTAAATCCAATTTCCTGCAACTCACAACTCTCCATAAATTGCTCCAAGCAAGAGAAGGAGGATACCGAGATTGGACCCTTCCCCCTTCTATCGGCGTAGCTCAGCAAAGCATTTAAATCCCCCATAACGAGCCAAGGGATTCCATTATCTCTTCTTAGACTTTGACAATCAACCCAAAATCGAGCTCGCTCTCCTTGCACTGGGCAACCATAAATGAAGGAAAAATGCCAAGGGATAGGACAGTTGGGTTCTAGGCACGATCCATCAAATAAATGTTCATTTTTAACTGATACCTGCACCTGAAGCTCTTTTCTCCACCACAACGCTAGACCGCCAGCTCTCCCCCGTGGTGGACAATATTCCCCATGATCAAAGCCTAGCCGCCTTTGATGCTTCTCAAGTAGTGGTGTTTGTTGCTTAGTTTCACAAAGAAAGACCAAATCAGGTTGATACTTGAAGCACAGGTCTCGCAAATTGCGTACTGTCAAGGCAGGCCCTAATCCCTGACAGTTCCAACTCACTACCTTCATAGCTCCAAAAGAGAAACGGCAAAGTGAAGGAAAATGAAGCGAAGGACCTGAGTAGGAAAGAGGGAAAATGAAAGTAACTAAAGAAACCGGACAAGACGCCGGACGGGAAACGGTCGGAGCACAACCGGCTCAGAAAACTCCAGAAGCTCTGATATTTAACCTTTTAAATATACTATATGTTAATATTGAGATAATAAGAAACTACGATTACAATGACAGAAATAAAAAATTAAATGCATATGAACCAACGCAGCCAAACCTGCCTTGTTCTCTTAATATATTTTTAATATATTCTACAGATAAAAAAAAATCCTATAAATGATGGAATGGGGCAGCCAGTTATTAATCAATTTTTATTTTTTTTATTTTTTTATCTTTAACATTAGCCATTGACCACACTTAATCTTTCGGATCAACTAATATTCTGTCAACTTGAGGTGCATTCCCCCTCTCTCATGAGCGGTCTTGACAACTTATTTAAAAGAAAAAACCATTAGCCATTGACCAACCAAGTGTTAGGCTGCTATTTGCGCCGGACTGCATGCGGGCCCTGCTTTGTATAATAGCACGTGCAAATTGTGAGGTGGTTATGGCACAGGTAAATTGTAATAGCGTTACCGTCACACAACATTATTTTTTTTATATAAATAAATTAGGTAACATTTTTAAATATTAATTTCTAAATTAA